TATTTTTTGTTTCCGACGTGCTGTAATGCGCGCGTTCTTCCTGTTGACCTCGTCTTATCTCTGAAAATGGATCCGAAAGACGATCCAGAAACTCAGATGAATAAGGTGCATTTCCCAGCAATGGACTCTTCAACTTTAGTTGCAAACTTCTGTTTGCCTCTTCCCCGCGGGTGTTCCACCTCAATTTTAGAGCATGACGTTACGTGGAAGATTAAGGTTTGTCCCTATTGTTTAGTACGAACCCACTATAGCGGACTTCTGGAATCCAAGCAAACGCCTGTTTGAGCAAAGGACGGATGTATTACAGGCGATATACGTGGACCGAGGTTTCTCACCGTTACTTCAGATACCTCATCGTCTATTGTACCCCACGTTAAGCCTCAGCTACAGCAGAGTTATCCCAGTGGGCATGGTTTGACACTGGTTAGGTTGATTGAGTGGTTGGTTGTTAGGTTGGAAATGACATTACCCACAAACACAAGAAAGACCAGAATGTCCATTTCCGGCGTCTTAGTCGTTATCAGCCAGCCATACCGAACCCCAGATCTTACAACTCCTGGGGTTTTGACCCGCACTCTAACCACTGAGCCACTGACCCATCCTGTCGGTTGCGATCTGGCATATTAGCTATACAAGGGACTGCTAAACGACTGCGTTACGAGTAATACTCGTTCTCTTGTCCCTTAGGGCTCCATTTAGAGCTCCACAGGCGACCGCACAGCGGGTAGTAGTTTAGAGAGGATGGTCTAACTTTTTGGTGATCGCCCATTTACTGATAGTGAGTGCACCTTCCTCTGCAGGCAGGAAGTGACCCCCTGGCATCACTGACTGCAGTGCTACAGGCGGTTAGGTTGTGTCATCAGAGCCGCTTTGTCACTTGTAAGACCCTTCTGACAGCCATGCTATTCTTACTAATGACACGACCGTTAAGCCATTTTTTCTTCTGAACTCCTCACCCGGCCAAAATACGCCCTTCTATGTAGATCTTCTGTTCGAATTCGTCCAACCGAGTATGGCTTTCATTTCCCTATCTGTTTCCAGTTTGGGACGTGAGAAACGGTTCACATCCCTGCGAGGTCTACTCAGTCCATGAACCCCTCCGATCACAACTGTGTATGCTCTACGAAAGTGATGGGATCTTTGATAAATTTTTGTGCTCGTGGTCGGAAGACGATCGGTAAGTCGCCATATTCACACCATTCCCCCCCCCCCTGTTCCACTGTTTCTCTCGACCCGCCGGTTATATTCGCTGTAGGACTCGCGAGTGTCGGGCGAAACTTTCGACTTCCCTATAGCCTCGCCCCCATCGGTTGGGGTGCATTCTTGGAGCTGTACACATTTGGTCATAGTAGTTTCGGTATATTTTTACGATTGAGCTTACGTCCTCTGTTTCCTACGTCGTCTTCCTTTCCTCGTTTTTGCTCCCCTGCGAGAGACACTAAGCCCTGCCAACTTCGTTTCTGTCTCTAAGTCAGCTGTCGCATATCGCAAGCGGAATCATTTTATCGTGGGTTGAACGTCCACCGGTCAGATTGCGCCTCGAGGCTCGATCTGAAGCCCCGGCGGGCAGTTGTCACAAAGCGATTAGCAGCGATGCAGCAGGAATACAGACAAAGCTCGAGGAGATTCGAATGACCGTTTCTGGCTTGCACCGACCGTCGTCAGCTAACCATACCCAAACCCGGGTTTGGATGACCTGGGGTTCGGATCCGGATTCTGTGGTCATTGAGCGTTTATAAGTCCAAGCTCTACACCAGTCGTTCTGTCGCTATGTGACTGCCTACGAGGGCTCTGGACGGCGCAACGAGACGGCCGTGTCTTAAAAACCTGATCGGTGAACACCTATCCCCCGATATTTAATATTTCCGATCGCAACCGACAGGACAGCGGGCCCGCGACTCAATGTTAGCACGAGTTGGAATCCCAGGTTATCCAGACCGGGGGGGCTAGGGTATGGCTGACTAACGACGACCGATAAAAGTAGTTTTAAAACCGAATCCACTTCTCCGTCGGAAAACTGAACAGGCCGATGTATATGTTTATTATTTTATAATTTATTTATATTTGTTATGTTAGGACCGTCCCCTAACGTCATGCCTTTCTTATCATCCGCAGTAGCATTTTAACTTTCGGAATGTGTGCTTGGCATTTCGGATCAAAAGTGGTTGCTGGTCGTTTTTTCTGCCTAAATATGGTGAACAGTATTCTGCCCAGCGTTTTCTCATATAAGCTGACTTTTCCAACTAGATGATAGATAACAGGTTGTTAGTGTATCTGTATTCCGACTTGCGTGATATCCACGAATTGCGAACAGGTACCCCGTGAGGCCTAACGCACATTGCCGTTCCAAGCAGTCGTGTGGGGCGAGGTCAATATCAACAGTCCTGGGTGTCTGAATAGTGACGAGTTGGCCTGTTACACCGCCCTGTGAATCTCTAGGCTAATGACGGTGATTATTACTGTGAACCGTAAGTCCACGCCCTTATTTACGAGCACTATGCCAAATGATTGGAAGTTGTGGTAGGATAGCTTTCTTTCAGACACAGTTGTAGCCACCCCGCCTTGGTAAAACGTAAAAGTAAACTACTGTGGACACTCTTTCGGCGCGCAATTTGTGAATCTGTTCTCCCGACGCCGGGGCATCTCCCACAAAAACCGGGGGAATATTCGACCGCTAGAACACAGCGTTTACTCTTCTGACATTTTCACTGAAGACAGTCGCGGGTAACGGACGGGCAAACAATCATTATCGCACAAATTACAGCCCCCAGTAATGCATACAGCGGCTCCTAATTTGGACAGCCACGCGGTCTCATGACATCTGTGTCTTATGCGTCCTGCATCTCCTGTGCGCTCATCACCGTTATCTGCGACTGTCTCCGATGATGGCTTCGAGTAAGAATCCGAAACTTTAGGCCAATAAACTTCATGTTTCAGCGATCACATCTTCATCTTCCGAGCTGCTTCCTGGAACTCGCCTCTTGGCTTCTATGCGCCGTCTTCTCTTGCCCAGTCCAAGGCCACCACATTGAGCATTTAGTAATTACCACCACTTTTACTAATTATATCGAGTAAATAATGCGGGAAAACTGGAGATATCACATTTCGTTCTGCTTAGGAAAGTGCCGTTTTTTACAAGTTTGCACTAGGATGCGCGAAAGTTGAAAGGTTTTCAGAAACAGCTTCCGACCACTTTAATATAAAGGCTTGCATCCCTTCTCTGCCATTTTGAATTTCTAAACACGCAATTTGTTTTTCTTTCCATTAGGTATGTGGCCACAGGCTCGTATGGCAACGTTCTGCGTATCTTTGATCGGGCCAACGGTTCCGACTGGATGTATGACCTCGGCGAGTCGAACCTGTTGCCGGCCTATCCGGGCATCGGTCCAAGTGGCCTGCGTCCCCGTAGGACTCGCCTCCGACCCAAACAGTTCATCGCTCCCGACAGCCAGCTGGGCTCTGATATGGGCTTGACATCTGTCTTTCTAGCACATGCCAACTCCCTCGAATCCGCTGTGGTCGGTGATCGTTCCCCGGAGGGTGGCAAACACTCCTCCAGTCCTCATCGTCGCAGACTCCTTGAACGCCAGTCGCGCACAACCGCAGCGCCGCGCACTCTGCCCGCAGGCTCGAAGCGACGGAAACAGGCTCTGCCCTCACGCAGCAAGGTTGTTGTTGACCTCGTTTCTGGCAGTAGTGTGGCCGCCGGAAAGTCTTTCAACAGGGATGACGATGAGGAGGAGGAAGAGGATGCGGTGGAGGAAGAGGAGGAGGTAGATGAGGAAGAAGACGAGGAGAGTACGCAGGAGGTGGACGACGACGCCTTGCAGGGTGAAAGGGAAGCCGGGGAGGGACCAAATGGGGACAGCGAGCATATAAATGGCTCCTCGCCGTTCCTCGAGGAAGAAGAGGGAGAGACCACAGACGACAGCCAGGACAAGCACTACCCTGAGGACTCCAATCCCACTCCCACTGGGTTGCGACAGCTAGACTTTCAACGGAAGTTTATGCAGATCACCTGGCACCCTCAACGTCGCCTAATTGTTTCCGCTTGTGGCAACCAACTCTTCCTCTGCTGTGGCAAACAGATCTTCCCTCCCCCACCGTCGCCCGAACACTGTTCACCACCGCCCTCCTTGGACAGGGTCAACAGCGAGGACGCGGCCGGGGTAGGCAGTCCGCTCGACGTGAAGGCTGCCAAGCGTAGACGCCGACGAAAAGGCACCGCGGAAGCCGTCGTCTGTCACCTCTCTCCGCTGCCGCTCACGACCCCACGTGAGGCACCGAGTGAGCCGCCGGGAGATACCATCGATGGTTGTGCTGGTGGTGGTGGCGGTGGGGCCAATGTCACTGTGGTTCCCGAGTTCTCTACCATTTGTAAGAGCGTTACGTCGAGGAGTGATCACGAAGACCACCCTGACTTTGCGGCCTCCGCTCCTGACACCAGCCCCACTTTCCTCGCGAATCTCAAAGCTACAGCTTTGAATCAGGTCGAGGCAGCCGGCGGTTCTTCAGTTCAGGAGATTGGCGGTGATATAGAGATGGAGTAAGACACCGACCAAGTACAGTGCTCTTGCTCCTTCCTCCCCCCCCCCTTCCCCCTCCTACTGCACGTTGTCTCCTCCTCCTTCATGTGCTTATTCCTCATTTAGCCCCGGTCAGGCTCATCCCCCCTCCTCGTGCTGTATGGGGATGATGGGTGGAAGGAGGACAGAATTGCCTCTCCCTCGTTTTTACAGCCTCAATTTTTGTAATGTTCATGAAACAACTCCACCGCGCAACGCTCGCCTGTGTACAGAACCTCCCACCCCTCTACCCCGCCCTCCATGTTGCTATGACCCGATGCTCCAATGTTCGTCTTTTTCACTCACGATTTGTGCCCAAAGTACAGATATCTGCAATTGCGCTTCGAGGAGTGCTTCCAATGATCTTCAGCTGTTGTTACTCTGGAGGGCAGTGGTGGGGACTTGGCGGGGCTGGTGACCGCCTAGCAGCGTGTATGCGAAGGGGGATGTTTGCTGGGTACGGGTAGACCGCGTTACCGATGGTCACCTCGACTGCAGTCGGTGGGTGACGCAGTTTCGAACAGATTTGGCCGTGGCAGCTTTCTCCGCGTCTCCAGTAATCGAGGAAGTTTACCGCTAAAGACAGCAGCCTAGTGTCGGGATGTCACTGATTGATAATGGCCAGTAACCCGAAAATAGCTATTATAGTGTTGCTTAGTTGACGCTAGTTTTAGTGTGCAACCGTCTGTGTGAGCTGTAAACCTTTAACTCCGAGGCCTAGCTAGGACACTGGTTTCCGTCTGGCAATGAAGTTGCATCGCTGCACGCAGCTCCTGTGCGACCGCATCTGCGGTTGGACACCTCGGCATCGTAGTCACTCAGGGTCGAACTCAGATCCAAATTACGTCAGGGCGATTTCACCCTCAGGTCGGTGCATTTTTACATGGCTGGACCTTCTTCGTTGTGTCTGGACGGAAATATCGTCAAACTAAAAGAAATGCCGGTAGAATCATGACACCCCGTCAGCCCACTTGCACGACATGGCATGTTCGCTCCGTCTTGCCTTGAACCTCTCTTATATGCTCAGCGAGTGGTCACGTAGCGAGAAGCAACACATGCAGAGGCAGTACCGGCAAAGACGAGGGAGACACCGGATGGCCATTTCTGGTTTAGTAACTGCAGCGTATCCTGCCCGGGCCGTCAGGACATCAAATCACAAACGCGTGACAAGCGAACGATCAAGGTCATGACCCCTGTTCACACCTCTGTGCTGATTGGCCACCCATCAGCCTATGACAGTTCCCCTTGCCATATACCCGGCCGCTTCCACAAGCCTCCTGACTTGTGCTGTCTGTCGTACTCAGTACATGTCCTATTTCCAATTAACCTTCTGTTTTGCATACATAACAGTAACTATGCCCCGACCTCCCTCAGACTTCGAGTATGATTGACAGCGACCCATTAGCCAAAAATTGGTCATTCCTGTCTCCCTCTTTTTTGTTGATTTTCTTTTGATACCCTTATCATCGGTTGGTTGAGAGGCTCGGACGGTGGACTGATGCATGGGAGAGGGACCAGGAAAACACTGATTAATCCATCCCCGCGGCAGATCAGCGCATATTTCTCGCCATACCCAGCCTGAGCGCTTGAATCTCTCACGACGTCCTAAGAGTCGTGTCTTGGAAGGTTGTCAACAAATGGGATAACCCAGTCCGTATGGTGAGTATTTTAGGATGGCTAGGAGACTGAAACTTGGGCTACAATGGATACTCACAAATGTGCCCTTCATGGCGTTCTCACTCACGTGGGGCACGGGTGGTCCCTTGTCACAGCCTGGGACATACACCGGAGGTGGGTTCGTGCGTGGCGCGCGTAGACGATCTGCTTAGTTTTCTTAGCCACTGTGCCTGCATCCACTTGCGGTCGTCCCAGCATTTTCATGCCATCGGAGCAGAGTGGACGAGGGTAGAGTGCGCGGTAGATGCTGCGCAAATCCGCGTCACTGTAAACTAGGCCGTTCGCAAGTCATCGTTGCTGCGTCAGCGCCGTAAGGCATGCGTAAGACGTCACCGCGTGTGAAGACCGAACTGTCATTCTTCTGATTCGAGCCTTTATAATTTATTCTGCCGGCTGTCCGGTGGAGCGTACGGATAAATCCTCGCATAACGTGGGCGTGTCTCTCCTAAGACGGGCGACGCGACTGATTCACAGGATCAACACGGGCTGGATCGGAATCCGACAGGTGTTAGTGGGAATGCACACACATAAAAAAACGCCAACATTGGGGGGAGGGCCAGCAGGCCCACTTGCAGTTTTACGCCGCGCCGGTTGGTTTCCGATCCTTAGTATAAAAATCCTGGTCGGTGTCAGGTGTGGACCAGGGAGGTGTGGTCGTAGGCCTACAGTGAGTGACCTATCTCATGAAATGTTGGCTGAAATTCCGAAATTCGTTTTCGATTAAGAGGGATTACTTGGTCGCGATTGTAATACTGATTATCTTGCGGCATAATCTTATAACATTTCGGACTCGGCAGGATGTCGGCTTTTAAATGCATTTCTTTTCAATCTCCTGTAGAGAGCGTACTGGATAACTAATGACTGCTTAAGTAGCTTGCATTTTCCCATTGATTTTCGATGGTCTTTTAAATTCAAATATATTTTGTAGAAACCATAAACAAAAATTTGCTTTATTTTAGTCAATCAATAGACAATCACATCTTCTTTATATTTTATACGCAAGAAAGGAGTATAATTAGATTTTAAAAAAGTTTCTAATCTCCGAATAATTTGGAGCCTGATCATTCGTCGCATTAGCGCTTAGTGATTTCAGTCTACATGGTGCATGCTTTCCGCGTAAAGAAAATCACATATTTTTCTATGCCATTAAAGAGATATCATACAGAATCCATAAAATTTTGCAATGAATACGGACTATGTTCTACATTTCATGAGGAGCAGTGGTAAACGGCCAGGTACGATGCTATGTGAATGGACATTTTGCGATCTTAAAAAGTCTCATAATTAGAAACTTTTTAAAAATCTAATTATACTCCTTTCTTGCGTATAAAATATAAAGAAGATGTGATTGTCTATTGATTGACTAAAATAAAGCAAATTTTTGTTTATGGTTTCTACAAAATATATTTGAATTTAAAAGACCATCGAAAATCAATGGGAAAATGCAAGCTACTTAAGCAGTCATTAGTTATCCAGTACGCTCTCTACAGGAGATTGAAAAGAAATGCATTTAAAAGCCGACATCCTGCCGAGTCCGAAATGTTATAAGATTATGCCGCAAGATAATCAGTATTACAATCGCGACCAAGTAATCCCTCTTAATCGAAAACGAATTTCGGAATTTCAGCCAACATTTCATGAGATAGGTCACTCACTGTAAGTGCGGGTTTTCGCCGTGCCAGCCACCTGCGTCCTGTTGACGCTGCCCTGACACCGCGTCCAGGTGCGCGGGGAGGAGAGTGCGGTAGATGCTGCGCAAGTTTGCTATCACTATGAACTAAATCACGCGCAAGTCGCCGTCTCTGTTCTCATCCTGCTGTGGAGCGCACTGTGGACATCGTTGGCAACGACGGTCAAACTGCTGTGTGTGTGTTTTGCCCGCAGAACGGACCCCGCGGTAGATGTGTTGGACTAAGACGGCAGCTTGGCCGGTGCCCGGCAGGCGCTGTCCGAAATGCGCACCCATAAAAAATGCCAAAATCAGGGTGTGGTGACACGACCGGAGAGGGCACAGGTGGCTAACATGGCCGAACCCGCACCCAGGCGTACCGGCACATCCCGAGGTACACTGACCAGGATTTTACACCCCAAGAGAAGACGGAGGCGACTCAGATCCCACAGAGTAGGAGTGCCATGGAAGGCACATTAAGAGGGACCCATTCCAGCCTGCTTCTCAGTCCGCCACTCGGCACACACACTGGGCTGACTGCGAGGTCCGAATTATCCCGTGGGTTGGCAACCTTCCAAGCCACGACATTTAGCGCACCGTGATAGCTTTAAGCGTGCCAGACTGTTTATAATCGCGAAAATGCGCTTAATCGTCGAAGTCACTCTTTAGTCCCCCCTCCCAGGCCCCAGCCACTGTCGGATCCGGTCAGTTATCTGGTGCGGGGATGGGCGCGGTGGTTGACGTAGCTGGTGACCTCGTCCGCGTTTGTCTCATGCCCCCAAAACATAAGGACCAGGTTTTCACGCAAAAAGGGGGGGGGGTGGGCGGTACACATCTCAAACGCATGAGAGTGACAGAGGTCACATTAAGAAGGAGATATTGCAGTTGTACTCTCAGTCCATCAGTCGGCCACTCCGCACTTACGCACATTGAGATGACTGCGAGAACCGAGTTTCATTGTCACTTGGCAACCCTCCAAGTCACGGCGTTTGGCGCATCCTGATAGTCTCAGGCTCGGATCACGAATTCATCAGAGGAGCCGCATGGAGACGGAGTCGAGACGTACACTTCCCACTTGCCTGAGAGGTGCCAATCACATGCATGCGTTGTGTGGTTTTGGGTGAAGTCAAATGTGTTGTAGGTACTGGTGAGGAGAGATGCGGTGGTATAGTATGACCAGCGGTGTTCTATCGCGGGTTTTCGTGGAGGCGCATGTTACCGAATAGGACCATGCGATATTTGGATGCGTAAGGGCAGTGCGGGCAATGGAGAAGATTGCGTCTGGTGTATTTCGGTGATCCAAACCACGCGGTAGGTGGGCTTGACCAACACCGGGATCAGATCGGGTAAGATCGCAGTTGGTAGCCAGGACATTATACGTTTATATTGTCGACATACGTACTTGTTATCAGTAGGTGTGCTCTTACCGCGTTAGGCAGGTCGCCATTTTGGTAAGCTGTTGGGTTTAGTGAGGGTTAGGGTTAGGCGTAAGTTAAGTTTTATGATTAGGGTTTGCTTTTTAGGGTCAGGTTTCAGTGTTAGGGCTAGGGTTTCGGTTCCCGTTAGGGTTCCCATTAGGTATAAGGTTAAGGTTAGGGTAAGAGTTTGGTTTAAGGTTAGGGTTAGGGTTATGGCTAGGTTTTTGGTTAGCGTTGGATTTTAGGATTTGGGTTACGTTTCGGTTTTGAGGCTTAGGGTTGGGCTTTACGGTTGCGGTCAGGGTTGGATTTTAGGGTTAAGCGTAGGGTTTAAATTTCTGCCAATATTTCACCTACTTAAAACTTCCTAGCGCTTTCTCTGGTAACTTTACTTTTACCCAGAAACTCCAGCATTCCTCTACCAGCCATTCCATTTACTGCACCCATATAACTCCCTTTCCCACCATTCCCATACGACAGGGGCCTGGCTGTCCGCCTCCCCATTCCTGGCTTTCAATTGCGATCTAACCTTAAATCGAAGTCCGGTAGGCGTAACCGAGAATGTGCATCTATAAAAATGTCAAAATCTGGGTGTGGTATCACGCCCAGCTGCAAGCTCACGCCACGCCAGTCGGAACCTGTGTGGGGGTAATATGGTAATGGTCGACGGCACAACAGTTTCGCAAATCAGAAGTCAGGGAAGATGGTTTGGTTCGGACAGCCTTTGCTGGACTGTGTTAGTACGACTAGGTGCGGGTTTCGTCGTGCCAGCTACCTGCGCCCTCCCGTCTCCGGTCCCCTTGACACTGCTTTGACAACGGCTCCCGGTGGTTGGGGAGGGGGGGGCGTGAGGAGAGTGTGTCAGATGCCGTGGAAATCTACTACCACCTTGAACTAACTCAAGCGCAAGTCACCGTCCCTGTTCTCACCCTACTCTGGGGCACATTGTGAACATAGTCGGCAACCACGTTGGAACTCTCGTGTTCGAACGATAAGCCGCCGAATTTGCTGAAACGGCCATTTGACCACCGGACAATTACGAGAGTTTACGTATTAATGCCGTCCACTACTACGTTCATTCGCATCTCAAGTCTGTTTTTCCAGCGTACGTTGCGTGATTATTAACTCCAACTTGGGTGACGATACCTCGAAGTCCTGCGTCCTAAAGGGGGGGGGGTGTGGTCCTGACAGTATAATCTAACTAAATATGGAAAAGGCACTCGCCTGGCTCCTCGCCAGTTTGGCTTCTTCACACTTAACGACATTCTGTCAAAACCACTAGAACCTTTCGGTATCACACCCAGCGATCAGGCTGTTTATTTGAAAATTGTTCGAGGTGACTTTTTAGGTCATTCGCAGCAGCTGACCAGTCGTTGGCCGGAATGATTTACAAACACGACCCAATTAATCTGCCGAGACAATAACCTATGGGGAATACTGGTAGCCTTTTCACACCGTGTGCCAGTAGCGGGTGCAACCCTGAACTTACTTTGAAGAGCAGGACAGGGGAGTTAATGGAGAATAGGTGAAAATATAATTGCGAAGAATGGTGCTTCTCTCTGAACTCCAATGATGATTTGGGTCGCAATGAGTTAATTGCTAACAGTGGTCGCACCGTGCAAGCCGTTTCAACCACAGAATGAAACCATCTGAGGCTAAACTTGAGGTCGCTCCCCTGTCAGTGGGTGTGTAAGTGAAGTTTAGCAGCCTTGCGCAAAGTGATTAGCAACTTACTGTGACATTTGCGGATCCGGGTAAGATGCCCAGTCATAATTTACGCCAGATGTCATCCTCCGTCTCCTTACTGAAATCGGTCCACTGAAACTTGGTCGGTGTGAGATGAAAAAACTCAGCTGCAAATCTTCGCTTATCCCCAGACGTCTGTGACAGGGCACGTTATCGGCCCGTCTTGTCATCCCCGATGGCGCCGTTTTCTTACTGGTTGGTTAATAGTAGGGTCCTAAGTCAACTTTAGTTTGCGCCAGCGGCAACTACCGGCCGTCGGCGAGGCACTTCTCACTAAAGTTTCCTATGTTATGTTTACTTATCTGGGGGTTTAATTTTGAACCATGAAACCTTACCTGTTTTGATTCCTCTGACAGCCAATCGTTTGGCAGTTAGGGGAATATGAAAAGTCGTCCTCCGAATAATGCGCAGCCCAGTTTAGCATCCGTTTAGGACTGCCCTGGCCATACAGCCTGCTTACAGAGACGCAAAGGTTTTACCTGCCCTTCCTCCAAGCCTTCTCTCTCTCCCTCTCTGTTGGCCTGTTGCGCTGGCCGAATTCGCGCCAGGAAGACTGACCTAAGCTATCATCTTTATCAAGTCTCACAAAATTTGACAATCGTCCGAGACGATATCCAGACACGTTTGGCGCAACTCTGCTGCTCGTCCTCCATAAACGGTTACAAGTCGGTGTCAAACTATATGTGATGTTACGGTTCATCGCTTTATCCGCCGACATCTTCAATGTCCTCCAGTGTAGAACAAAAGGAAGAGAAGACCAATTTCTGATTATAGTTAACCGTCATAGGGGGAAAAATAGCCAATCATACGCACAATATATTCAGCGGCTAACCTCGCAGGCGCTTCACTGGCGGCATTTAAGACGAACTCTGTGCGTTCTCGCCGCCTCTCCCTCTCTCTCACTGACCGTCGCGACTCCAATCATGCCCGTATCTCCAAACGATCTCTTCCCACACCGTCACCTTTAACCTTCGTTCTCCGTTTTGGAATTTTGTTCCCTTTATCCGTCTTGTGGAATTTTATCCTTGCATGTGCACCTTGTGCCATACACTATGGGGAATGCTTATCATCCTCGTCCTCCTTCCTCACCACACTCAGTAGACTGTCCTTAGCAATCTTGGAACAATCGCATGGTTCTTTCGCGACAACGTCCATGAGTGAAGTGACTGCAACTCTCTTCTATGGTCACGGGAGACTGGTTGACTGACAGATGTCTGAGCTCGAGCCTCAACGTTATCGATTTTCCCCCGACAATGCACAGTAATTGGTTTCTGAATAAAAAAAGGGTATATTTTGTTCGAATTTGCCATGGACCTCTCGTCTAACGTGCTGGCATGCAGTCATATGGCAATGAGCAGCCAGCAGCTGGATATATTAGCGAAGAAAACAAAACATGAGTGACACAATGTTTGTGTCACTTGCCTCCGACACCCAGCTCCAGACGAGGCGAACGTGAACTCGGCGATAAATCAGAAGGCCCCCGCCCGTCCTGTAGTTGGGTCGGATCGATAAACACCAGCGCCACGCGACACTGGTAAGAGCCAGAAGGGCGTGACAGGACTGCAACTCCTCAAATCAGAACGCAGAGGACTATGGCTGAGTAGAGACCTCTTGCAAAGCGAGGACGCACAATCACCTGACCGTCCACGCTGACTTCAACGACTAGGAGTTTTCTGCCTGCGCAACCGTCTAACCCCCAAAACAGGCAGTTCTGTTGCGTCAGACGCAGTCAAACGGATCTTAAGGTCCCAAGGGAAACCGGAGCCTTATGCTAGGTCTAATCTTTACTCGGCCTGACCTCGTCTAGCTACTAGTTCAGGATTGAAAGGGGAAGAGAGTGAGGACGATAAACAGTAGATGTGCTAACTCATGAAATGTCAACCAAAATTTCGAAATGCGTTCTCGTTTCGAAAAGATAAATTAAGTGGTCTTGTAAAACTAATCATGATGCAGCATAAATCTACAATGATCCAGTTACCTCAGGGTGTCGGCTTTCGAAAGAACTTATTTTCGGCTGCATGCAAGATCTATACTCTGCAAAAAATGACTACTTACGTAGTATGCAATTTTCTCATTGATTTTCAATGCCCTTGAAAATTCAATTATATTTCATGGAAAACATGTATAAAAATATTCATTCTTTTACTGATTCGGTAGAAAATCAAGTCTTCTTCCAACTTCATACTCAAAAGAAGAGTATAATTCGGTTTTAAAAAAGTTTCTAATTGTGAGATTTTTTAATACCGTTAAATGGCCGTTCATGAAACGTCATGTATCTGCATTTACGAATGTGGCTTGTAAAGTTAACAATATTGCTCAAATCCACTGCTTAATTTTATGAACCTCATATGGTCTCCTCTTAACACCGTAGATAAATGCATGGTTTTCCGCACACGGAAAGTATACAGCTTGTGGTTTTGAAACCCTGAATGCAAATGTAACAGCAGGTCGGGTTCAAAATTATTCGGGAATTAGAAAAGTTTTTTTTTAAAACCGAATTATACTCTTCTTTTGAGTGTGAAATTGGAAGAAGACTTGATTTTCTACCGAATAAGTAAAAGCATGAATATTTTTATGCATGTTTTCCATGAAATATAATTGAATTTTCAAGGGCATCGAAAATCAGTGAGAAAATTGCATGCTACATAAGTAGTCATTTTTTGCTGAGTATAGATCTTGCATGCAGCCGAAAATAAGTTCTTTCGAAAGCCGACACCCTGAGGTAACTGGATTATTGTAGATTTATGCTGCATCGTGATTATTTTTACAAGACTACTTAGTTTATCTTTTTGAAACGGGAACGCATTTCGAAATTTTGGTTGACATTTCATGAGTTAGCACATCTACTGTAAATGCACTGCCTCTTTTCAATTTGGTAACTCCGGCGAACCGAGGATCAATCTCCGCGGCGTAAACATTGTTGTTCTTAGGGTTGCCAGCCGGCGGGTAACCCGTGGTCGAAAGCCGGACCGCCATAGATTCTTCTTAATATGAGGCCTTGTAGCTGCCCTCACCGACTGTGCATCCCAGTGAGTGAGGCCTGGACCAGCACGTGAGTGGCACGCGTAGACGAGGACGAATGTCTCGGTGACCATTGCTCACATACTCACGTCCATTAGTAGTAGTAGTAGTAGTAGTAGTAGTAGTAGTAGTAGTAGTAGTAGTAGTAGTAGTAGTAGTAGTAGTAGTAGTAGTGGGTGGTGGTAGTAGTAGTAGTACTAGTATTATTATTGGTAGGATTAGTAGTAGCAGTGGTAGTAGCGGTGGCAGTGTTGTTACTATTACTATTAGTAGTAGTGGTAGTGGTGGTAGTAGTAGCAGTGGTAGTGGCGGTAGTGCTTTTATTATTAGTAGGAGTAATGGTAGTAGTAGCGGCAGCAGTAGTAATAGTAGTGGTGGCTTTGGTAGCAGTAGCAGTAGTATTAGTAGTAGTAGTAGTAGTAGTAGTAGTAGTAGTAGTAGTAGTATGCTATTACCGCAGTAGTAGTAGTAGTAGTAGTAGTAGTAGTGGTAGTAGTAGTAGTAGTAGTAGTAGTAGTAGTAGTAGTAGTAGTAGTAGTAGTAGTAGTAGTAGTAGTAGTAGTAGTAGTAGTAGTAGTAGTAGTAGTAGTAGTAGTAGTAGTAGTAGTAACCCTGTCTTGTTATTGGAGTGCAGTTTGTGCCAGAATAGAGGTTGAAGTTGATGCTCCGCTGGGCTCCACTATTATAATCCGATGCCCGCAGAAAATCACCGCGTCTTTTGGCCCGGGTGGAAGTGGAGGCCCAGACGCGTGTCAAGATCGCAATACTCGTTTAGCCTTCGGGTGTAAAGAGGTCCTTGGTTGATCGACTGTAAGCGCTGACGCCTATGGACAAGGAGGCCAGCGAGGACTTTCGGCAACGGCGTGCTTAACTAACTCGCAGCGCCGCGAGAGTGCCCCACCACTGGACATACTTATGTGGTCATGTGACTCCTGCACTTTTGTTGGTGCTCGGGTTCGTGGCACAGATTCTCGGAATCGCGAACGATCGCCTTCATTGAGGTCAGTTGACGGAGGGCCTGCGGGCGAAATTAAACAGGCTGACACATCAGCTTACTGATTGAACATCTCAGGGTCACCCAAGGTAGTCGTCGCCGTTTCTTACAGCTAACAACCATACAGCGTCAATATGTGGACAAAAAGGCATTCTGGGCAAGTTCGTTTTCAGATCTGTGCAGCTTAAAACCGGACTACCTTATGCGATGGATAAGGGGACCGCACTTAACAAATTTTGCTCCAAGCCCATCGTATATTTTTTGTCGAAGACGTAATCGGATAAGCGAATTTAGAAAATGAGCATAAGCTCGAGCGATCGGAAACTTCCAGGAGATTTCCCTTGGACCATATCCGCAATCCAAATCGAATGATCTTCCCGACCAAAGCAGCGCTTGTATTCGTCACTGGCTTTTTGGACTACTCCTGCGTTAGTTTCAGTGGAGAAAGCCAGTGCAAACCCGGCTTATCCGACGGTCAGCTTAATCTCCACCGCAAAATCTGTAACGCAGTGGCCCCCAATGTCTGACTAAAGTCTTGACTTAAACGTCCTGAGCGGCTGCACTAACATGACAAACAGCGCTATAAGTGATGCCGCTGTGAGGGAAGGTAAAGCACATCTCGGAGCCTGACGCCCCAATGTAATGGTCTGGTAAATGCAATTTGGAGAGGCTGTCAACGGTCAGATGTTCTTATGGTCCGTCTCTGCGTCGCCGGTGCAAGACGAGCTCTCACCGTGCTGCATGCAGTACACAGTTTGTCCTCCTTTTGAAGCGTTTGGTTTGCATATCTGCCACACCGGATCGCAGTCGTAGGTTGAAGCTCGTCGGTTGTTAAGGCCGTAGTAGCACGAGTTGGGTTTCTAGAGGGATTATGAGTTTGAGAAAAAGTTGATTTTTTGTAGTCCTTAGCCTAGCGTTTGAATGATGGTCTGGTCTTATGCAACAAATACGTCCAAGAATATGACTGGCGGTCGAAGAAGGACACTGGAAGCTGCACCAGGCCTTGCCCTTGAAGCAGGAATGCGCTATTGACAGACTAGGTGAGATTTGGGTCTGTTGTTGAGTTGAGATGCTCTGAGGTCGGCCACTCTTGAGCCCCTCCAAAATAATTACCTAACTTGCGGTGAGGTAGATGAAGTTAGCCATGAGTCGTTCATCGAAGTGGCGGGAGCTATTCAGTCAACATAGACAATAGAAGCTTTCCTGCATGAATGCAAGGTCGGGCAGACGGAGCAGTGCCGCAACCAAAAGCCTTGAAAGCTGTGGTCCATCCTGACCTTCAATCACCCATTGACGGTTATCCTCCGTGTAGATATGTTGGAATCTCTAGTAGAGGTATTGGGACCCATAGCTTTGCTCAGTACTACTTGCACGGCTCATCTGTCGATGTCCCAACGCCTTACAATAGAGGGGATGAATGTTTAGTAGAAGTATCGCTCTGCAGCCCTTGGTTCTCTGTGGTTGTTTATACCTGAATATTGACTGTTATTTTGACGAATACTTGCCGTGAGTTTCCCCTTCAGACTACAGTCTTGGATTTTCGTTAAAACCATCTGCGGGAATTTCGGCCCTCCAGGTCTATTTTGAAAACTAAAATCAGGGTCCCTGACTTCGGTAGGCTGCTTGGATCGCTTAACTACAATAATTAACAATCAGTAGCTGCTTCCCCCATTTAAGATAGCGGTATAATTGACCCTCTCTTCCCGTCAACATAGTGTTTCACCAAAGGTGTGATCAGGCCTTCGTGACTGCCTTTCTCAATGTCTCCCTATGTGATTTTTTCAGTTTATTTGGAAAGGACACTAGACAACGCCTCTGAAAACCCCATTGTTTACATGCCAGTCAGTCAGACACAGCAGTACACCATCAACGAAAATAGTCACTGTTATAGTAGTACTCATATAGTTTAAGTAGCATGGTTTTTAAAATTTCTGGGACTCACGGGGTATTTAGCTCAGGTTCAGACTGTTAACTGAAAACAGGGGACACAAAAACTCATCTAAGCCTTTCCTGATGAGCTACAGGGACGTCGCCTCCATCACCGATTGAGGGAGGGGAGTTCCAGGAAGTAGTAGCGAAGAAGGAGGTACGGTCGCTGGAACGAGAGCTTTAATAGCGGACGCTTCGGATTCTCACTCGAATCCATCATCAAAGACAGAATCAGATAAGGGTAGTAAATTGCCCAGGTGTTGCAGAATTTGTAGGATGAGGTTGCTAGGCCGTTACATGCCCATCACAGTTGGCGGCTCCCGAGCGCATCACGGCTCGACTGGTCAGGTGTTGAAGTATGCAGGTGCTATGTCCTAAGTACTGAGCTACAACAACAAACCGCCAATCAGTCACAAACGCAGCTGCATAAGGACACTATACCAGTGTGTAGTGACACACTGCAGTGCACCGGAAGATAATGTTGCTGAACTACAATGCCTTCGACGGGTACTTAGAGCGAGCGGCTACCCCCGCAACTTCGTCTGCGCAAACGAGACGAGAGACGAAATCTAACCGGTCCCAAGTTTTTGAGAGCTCTCCCATATGTGAAGAATGTTTCGGAAACCGTCAACCACCTTCGCACCTCCCCTTGGAATTTGATTTGCACGCAGACCGGTAGCAACCATAAGGCGCCAGATCGTGAGGCCGAAAGACCTATTGTCACGGCAAGGAACATAGATAGATCTATAGGTAGATAGATAATTTTTATTTAAGACCCGTCGGGTTCCCATCAACGCAAATCAAAATAAATTTACATGCGAATTTTAGATTAGGTATGCAGAATCTTTACAAAATGCAATTCATAGTTTCTGAATTAGTAGTCCATTGAGAAACATGACTAGTGAAAGGTGAAAAAAAAACTCCATACAAAAAGTTAAAAATGATTGGATTAATTTTGCAGGAGAAAAAACCCTCAATGAAAAATAATAACAGAAAAAAGCAAGCAGGAATGGCCTGTAGGTGGCGGTATATAACGGATTGTTGTGGGTCATCGTCAAGGTAACAATAAATGTCAACCTTGAGGGGTACGTATGCGGGTCAGACAGGACTGGCCTGCATGTGGTATTGTATACGGGATTTACAGTTGACATCGTCCGGGCCGGATTGATACGCCGCATGAGACTATTCGCGTCAAAGAGGCCAGACGAGAGGAATCCAGATGCGATCGGCCACAGCACGCTTCGAGCTCAGACGAGCAGCGGGGAAGGGAGGTACGACCAAACTACTAGTAGACGGTGAATACTGAGGGTTCCGCCCTGAGCGTCGACAGACCGCATGAGGTCGGAATGCGAGAGATGACATCAAAAACCGCGAAAATTTTCGCTAGGGGGGAGGAGTGATAGCAGTGGAATTAGAAACAAATTCTAAACAGGGTTTATAATGATATAATTGAGGGTTTTCAATTGATTTACCACGAAATCCCAAAAGGACCCTTCTCGAAGTCAACAACCTGAGTATTCGGGAATGAGACCGTTAATAGTGCCTTTTTGCTTTCCGGTGTAATATGTTTGCGTAATTTTGACTTGAATACCGATGACTTAGGCGATAATCTAATTTCAGGCGGAAGATTATTCCATAGGAAAGCATATTTGGAAGCAAAGAAGAGGGAGCGCTTAGATGTAATGCAAAGGGGCGGCGGAATCACCACGCAGGAGTTGCGCGTGGCATAAGACCGATCTCTCGGAGTGAGAGTGTCAATGAGCGGAAGACTGGAGCTAGAGTTGGTGCGAAAAAGGAAGCAAAGGCCAGCTTCGAGTCTTCTAACCCATAAAAACTTAATGTTCGCCAGCTGACATGTCTGAGTATAAGAAATACCGGACGAAGATTGAGAGAACAGTTTCCGGGTGAAAACCCTCTGAAAATTACATAAATTACATTTCTTTCTTCTTTCTGTGCTCATTTTATTGTCTTTGTACATTTAAATTCGGTGTCGAAATGTCCGCCTGCCGGGGTATGCAATGCATTTTGACGGTCTTTATCCACTTGTGTACGTTCATTTATGCTACTTCGGGGTCAAGGGGATCTACTTGTCTAAAGAAGGTCGGAAGCGATCAACAATAATACTCCATGTTATTTCTCTTAAGACACTACTGAGACTAATCCGATAGTAATAGACAATAACCAATTTCGATCCGTTTTACGGCATTTTAGGACCATGGTCTTGGAAAAGCAGTTTACCCAAAGCAGTATAAGGAAATATCCGTCATCAGAACTAAGAACTTTAACAGGGCCCGTGGCAGGAATTCTGGTCCTGGACCATTGAACACTGTCGTTTTTATGTGTCTAATGATGCAATTACAATATTTTCGGTTGTGTATCGGTGTACTGTAAAAGCCTAATTTAGAAATTTGTCTGACCATGTAATATTGACTGCAGACCTTGATCCTACACCTCTTAGGCCCGAATAATTCTCGCCTTAGTCCAAATCTGCATTAATTAGGCCAGCATTTATTTAATGCGAAAATAGTTTAATTCTAAGAGAATCCCATGAACAACAATCACTTTGTTGACGCAATAATTTAGTGTGTAAGTCAACCTCAATTTTTGGGGTGCCGCTTTAGATATCCTGACAATTTGGGCTGTTCACATGCATCTAAGAAACAGTATTCTTTAGAATGCAAATTGGCAGATGCTGGATAAACCGGATGCATCCACAAGTTCTCGATGGTCTTAGCGTGCTCATTTTCAAAACCAGGGCGAACATGTCATGATTCTTCCTGCCAGCATGGAGACAGAATGCACTTATATGTGTTACCCTACCATCAACTGCCAAAAACAAACATAAACGAATGGGTTTGATATTCTCAAAATGCTTTTTAATGTCATTCTCGTTGAGATAACTTTCATGCGCGAAGGTCCCACGGTTCGCGTCAAACTCGGATATTGTCGTTCCCTGTCAAATACCTAAGCAAGACAAAAAGCGGGGCATTATTTCTCCACCGGTTATGATTATCTGGATACAGTCTGTGGTAGTGTAGAATACTGAATATTTGGATGAGGGATACCACAAAGTATTTGGTGTTAATCTAACACCAAATAAGTGAGACCCGTAACCAAACTCGAAAACGTAGTTTGAAGAGAAGGGGTTGGTTCAGTAGAATGAGATACGGATGTAAAGATACGTAAAAGATGCAACGACTCTCACGCGCCGGATTCTTTGTCTCTAACTCCTGAAAAGTTTAGACAACGTGGATTTCATCCTCGGCCTGCTATGCATTATTTGTGTAAACTGAAGTGGTCCTACATGGGTTTGAGCAAGCACGCCCTAAAATATGATTGTGCTTGTATAAGTTACACGAAGTTTACTCACGTTTGTGGGCAAGCGGCGAAAATGATTTACGCTTGCGAGGGGTAGTGGCTTCTGTTGCTGCCTCCGGATGAACGAGCCATTGTGCTGACATCTTGTTTGAAAACTGGACTTAGTTGAACTTGCAGCATTGGAGGCTTACAGCAGCTCCAAACATTTTTGGTTGCCTGAGACCGCGGGCTGTTCACATCTCCGGGTATCTGACTTCTAGAAAAAGAGTTCATCGATTGATCTATAACTGACTTGAGTGAATAATTGTGTCTGAACATCTGCGACAAGACATAAAACCATGTTGATTGCACGGCCTGGCTTGGTTCAACGAGCAACGGACACTAAGTAGTGCATTTACAATCGCTGTAAAACCACCTGTAAGACGCATCCGTCCACTAGCATAAGTATCAGTTAGTATGGCAACGAAAACCGTGGACTGTTGCATCGCCAACCACCCGTAGCTCAGAACCTTGTTAACTCGGACTTGGAACAGTTCAAAGGGTCCCCAGGGTGCTTTTGAGTTTCTTGAGTACCAAAATGAAAATAAAATCAAGAGAGCGGTTGCACGCTTCACCTGCCATGAGAACATCTATGCTTACCAATTCACGTGCATATATACCTATAAACACGTAATCGCAGAGTTATACGACTCACATGCGGGAACATAATCTTCTAAGCATTCGCCTTCAGGGAAGATTGAATGTAAGGAAGTATTTCTTCTCCAACCGTGTCGTAAAACCGTGGAATAACCTGCCCGAGACGGTTGTCATGTCTCAATCTGCGGAGACACTTAAATGTCGGCTTCACAGACATATGCTGCAGCAACAAGCGATCTATGTGACTTGTTAGCCGTGAAACCAGTGACATATGTGAATCAATGTCTGCATTCACTTAATGCTGTAATTTCTTCACATTTTTGATTATTGATCGATTTATTATGTACAAATAGGGCGTTCAAAGGCGTAAGCCTATTTCCCTCTAATACACTGACTGACTGACGCTCTTCTAAACAGTTATAGGAGTTGGGAATGCTTACCTGAACAAACGTAGGACCAGTGCAGTGAGTCCATTGTAATAAGGATGGAAGAGGCATTTTATATTTGTCCTTCCGAGTTGGCACGTTGATCGAAAACACGTTACATGCATGCCTCACGACATTATGTCCGGCCACACGACACTCTTCATTGTAGGACTCAAATAGGGTCATCGTTACAATGGCACAACTTTCCAATACTTTTCATAGCAGTTGCCTTATCATACTAATCGATCTTTACCACAGCCACGATCAATAATTTAACCGAACTTACTTAAGATGGTCTGTATACCTACTCACCTGGCGTATTTTCCAAATAAATAACTACATTTAAAAAAAAAAAAAATTTTGAAAGCTGCGATTAGCAGCTTAATTGTGGAATATGCATGTATTTATTAGTGGTTACAGGCTCCGTTCTTGGTGCATACATACGATATCCGTCAGTTTTAAGGGTAATTCGTGAGAGGGAGTACTGAATGGCGTACAACACCCAAATTCAAATAAAGCAAAAGAAATTAGGAACTTTTACCTAAAGGCTTGCTTGTCATTTCCTCCGACTGGTCCTCACGCCCATTTTATCTAGTGTTCTTGGATGTTTGAACGAATTCCTTCTTTAACAGCCAATGAACTATTTGACAATACATCCGTTGACTCGCTGGTCCCAACGCATATTGATGTCGGTTTTCGGTCCTTAAAAGCTAGCTCATACAGCTTACAGATTTGTCTTTGAAATATACCTAATAATCGTACGGTCGGGATCTGAAATAACGCCTTTTGGCGACGGTTGCCTCAGTTGAGCTTTCCCCCGACTGTTTAAATAATGCGCTATCCCGCCGCGGCACTTTGATTTTTGGCTCACGCTGTACGTTCGTGCTATTGTGACATAATGGTCCGTGTCAACGTCCTCGCCGATGCTCTGAAGTCAATCAACAATGCCGAAAGAAAGAAAAAGAGACAGGTCATGATCCGGCCGTGCTCAAAAGTCATTGTGCGATTTCTTAAAGTGATGCAGCGCAAGGGCTATATTGGCGAGTTTGAAATTGTGGATGACCATCGTTCTGGGAAGATTGTTGTCCAGCTTAACGGTCGGTTAAACAAGTGTGGTGTCATAAGTCCACGCTTTAAGATGAGTGTAAGAGATACGGAGCACTGGACCCGCAATCTCCTCCCTTCGCGCCAGTTCGGGTATGTCGGTCAATTCTGCCAGGCTAATTGTCTTCAGCTACCTTGTACTTACCACAAGTGGCGGACTGATGGACCACGAGGAGGCTCACAAAAAGCACTTAGGAGGTGTTATTCTTGGCTACTTCTTTTAAAGCAGAATAAAGCGTGTTGGATTAATGTTCACTTCGTGCATTTTCGATCGCCGCAGCCTTTCCCTACGCCTTTGGCGGCGGAGATCGGCGTTCTTTATTAACGACATTGGTCAGGCTTTCCTTTAATGTTTACACTAAATGGGGCTCTTGAGATACTTATGGGTCTAGGGCACGGTATTTTGATGGAGGTCCTAGATACACCGCAGTCTTTGTCGCCTCTCCATAGTCGGGCTTCTAGCATGGTTGCTGTAAAGATGTCGTTTTTACAAACTCATTTGTGCATTCAGTACTTTGTTGATGTCTCTTGGTAGTTTAGGCGACTCGACCTCTATTACCACCCCTGATCTCCTTTTAGTAGGATTTGACGCGAAAATTCGCCTATCGGTTGTCCACTTAACCGCCTGACATAATTTCTGCGTTTTCTGAGCAGTCATTTATTACTCGGTTTTCCTACCCAGGTTTCATGCTTCAAATACCTACCAAATAGTCATACTGCTGCCAGCAGCGTTTCCCACGTAAGTAGCCTTGTCCTTGTCGAATGCCGATTTCAGGTTATACCAAGTAAACAGGTTCGCTTAGTGTCATCATTCTCAGGCTGGCAGGTCTGTTCATAGAAACGCCTGTCGCCTATGGGGTTTCTTCCCTGATAGCCATGTACTAACATATGACTGGTAGCTCGATTTCCTCGCTAGTAGATGACCATTTGTAATTGTCTGTTATAAGACCGGTGCAAGCCACTGTGTGGAACTCTGTTCTCCACTTGTCTCTGTCCCCTTCCGGGCACATTCCCATATGCACTAGTTATGGACGTCAATGGAGCTACAGCCTAGCGTTGTCACGTAACCATGTAGTTAGACGGTCAGATGCCTCTACAACTTGTACCTCGGCGCACTCGTGCAGTCGATAAGTGCACCAATGCAGATCTTGACTTCGCGTGTGCCACACGCAGAGGGATTCGCAGGCAAGTTGTGATTGCGAGGCAGTCACGTATGAGCCGACTACATAATTAGCAAGCAATGGCAGTATGAACTAGTAGTTTGCAAGTCATTTAATATCAGTGTTTCTTGTCTGCAGAGAATATTAATCATGCGCATCCGGACCTGTGATGTGATCTTATCGCGGTCATACCAGGAATTCACCATCTCTGGTGCGTTGTGCCCATCTTCGTCCGTCCTGGCTCCTTTACGAGTGGGGCTTTCCAAAACAGCCGCACCAGCGCTCAGCACGTTTGATTTCCGTGTTTTCACTGCTGCGGTCGTGTTGGACATTTTGGCAGTGTCGATCTATTGGAAATTGTTTAGCCATCTGCCTTGCCAAGTCGGTATGTGCGTCATCGGATAGACAGCACCCTTGTCTTGGCACGTCTGCGATCATGCCTGATCTGGCCGGCCAATCCACGCGTGACGGTTTACGGCAGCAGATCTGGACAGTCCAATCCATTCTCTTCACCAACAACGGAGACCGAATACCGAAGGTTCAAGAACCACTTCCATGTCTTGACGGACTGTGTCGAGCCAACTTTTTAGTTGGCCTCCTCGACGCTTCCAATAGGGTAATGGTGCCGGATCTAGGGAATTAACGCCGCGCTCCTATGGCGGACGACGAACAACATGCCCAGACAACCTCAGTCGTATTCCTTGGGTGGCCTGAGATATCCTTGCGATGTCGCAGCGAGTGCGGACTGTCTCATTTGGGACGAAGTCGGTGTTCTTCACTCGAAAGGCGGTCTTAAAGCAGTGGTGGTCAGATACCTCCAGTTTTCGCTCGTCCTCCACGCGCACAGCCCAGCATTCACAACCATAGAGAGGGACAGATCGGACGGGTGCACGGTACACGTGAATCTTAGTGGCGCTGGAGATGTCGCGTCGGATCTATAAGCATTTTAAGGCTTGAGAAGACCTGCGGACAGTATCAATTCGGAGACAGTGTCACCCTTACTAGTCATTCGGCAGCGTCCTCGCCCCGAGGTATTTAAAACTGTCTACTTCAAGTTGACAGCCATCAATCCCGAGAGGTGCCTTCTGGTCAGGGATGCATTTTGACAACACTTTAGTCTTCACAGCGTTTATGGATAAACCGACCTCGTTCACCCGTGACACCATAGATTGCAGGTCACCAAAACTTGAGGCAAGTGAGGCAATATCATCGGTATAATCGAGATCAGTGAGGCGGTTTACGAGTGCAAACTCAACACCGTCACCTGCGGGTAGGCCTCTCCCGAGAATCCAGTCAGCGTAGCTGAATAGGATGGGCGGCAGGGTGCATCCCTGTCGAACGTCAGACTGGATATTAAACGGTTGGAAGGATTGTTGTGGACCAGAACTCTCGCACTGGTGGAGTGATAATAGACCTTGATCATGGCGATGATTTTTGCCGGTACACTTGGTGCCATTATCCGCCACAGGGACTAACGATGGACGGAATGGAATGCGGCGGCCAAGTCAATGAGGCAGACGGCCGTCGGTTGCTGGTAGCAATGTCGAACTTCGAGCATGTGCCTTTATGTGAATACCTGGTCCGCGCATACACGTCCAGCACGAAATCCGGCTTGGTTGGGCCTCGTTCTAGGTTACGCACAGTCTGGAATCGCCTGAGTAGGACAACAGCGAAGATCTCCGCAGCACCATCGATGAGGCTTAAGTCGCGGTAGTCCTCGCATCTCGTCTTATCTCCCCCCTTGAGGATAGGTACAAGGATGCCTAAGCTCAAGTTAGCAGAAGCAGCCTCGTTTCTCCACGCTTGTTCAATCACCTCATGAAGCAAGGGCGCCAGTGTCGACACAAGCCTTGTAGACGTCAGCTGGTCTACCGTCCTCTCCAAGTGCTTTGTTGCTGCGTATCTCTCGTATGGCATCAGCGAACTCTCCTTCAGAAGTGGGGTCGCATGGCGCCGCATAGTTTGGAGATGGAAGGAACTCCGCTGCAGGGAAGGACAAGGGTGTGGTGAGTTAGGTATCGAATCTGAGATGGTGCTCGAAATGCTCACGCAGACGCTCGACTGTGGCTGATTTTTCAGCGATAAAGCCGCCATGCACGTCGCGAACTGAGTCATTCAGTGCAGAGGACTTACCACTAACTTGGCGGATAATTTGGCATATTTCTCGAATGTCGCCAACGTTGGAAGTCTTTTCCGTTGAGGTCGCTATTTCGGCCCGATATTGCTTCCGGTCATCTCTGGCCGACTTTGCCGTCGTCTGAAGTTGGCGGAAGGAATCATCATTACGGGACTTGGCTCGAGCCGCCTGAGCAGACAACTACAGGGTTCTTCAGGTGAACCAGTCACTGCGGCGTCGCTGGATATATCCAAGGATTCTCTCGGCTGCCCCATAGACTGACGTTTTTAGTGACGACCACTGGTTACTGCCTTCTCTGTCGACTCACGTCGTAAAAAGCACCGGATTTATCTACCCAGGGGCTCAGCAGTGCTGGTTTGCCGGATTTTTGCGTCATCGAGGCGTTTACGACGTGGCATTTTTGGAGCGGATGAGAGGTGGACATTCAAGCGTGCACGAACGAGGACATGGTGCGACCCATGGGCGTTACCAGTCTCGGCACCACGCAACGATCTTCTATCGTGAACCCAGCTGCGGAACCTTGAGCTAACTAGTATGTAGTAAATCTGACTGGTTGTATAACAGTCGTCTGAATACCAGGTCGGCAGATTTTTTGCGATGCTGGGAGCACGTGTTGATGACAAGCAGTCGGTTCTGACCAGCGAAGCTCAGCTGTCTGCATCTAGCCTGAGCCGTCACCCATCAAAGGCTGCGTAACCAACCAGTCATCGGCTGAGAGGCATTACCCATATACACACACACACCTCACAGCGTGAGAGTGCTATAAGTCACGTTAAGAGGCCTTTGCAGCCTGTCACTCAGCTCACCAGTCCGTCACTCCACACGAACACAAATAATTAGGGAGACTGCGTGGACTGAGTTGAGGTGTCAATCGGCAGCTTGGCGCCTCGTAATAGTCTCAGGCTCAGACCATGCAGCATACAGCCACATTGAGAAGGAACTGCGAATCACACCTTCCACTTAAGTGAGTAGTGTCAATTTAGTGCTTACGTTGTGTGTCGATGGGTGATGTGGACGTGTTATGTAGATGGTGATGGGAGATGTACTGGTGCGGTATAGCCGGCGGTTGTCTACTGCGGGCTCTCTTGAATGCGCATGTGGCCCAACAGGCTCATGCGGGGGCAGATGGGGCGGCTGTTGGCGGAACTTTTCGCTGTGGTCGACGCAGGAGTTGGGAGGGTCCCGTACTTAACACCATCGAGTCTCCACGGAGGCGTTTTTATCTGCAACTGTCAGGTCGTCCAGTCGCTGGATCAGTTGATTGCTGAAATGCAAACGGTGAGCAAGCCAAGACAACAAAGCAGTATTCAGTATACCTGGGGGTCACTTACCTTGTGGCTTCCTGCGGGCTTGCAGACAGAGCTTCATCTTGGAGATGAAGAGGCGGTAGTTCGTCTAGCCATCGGCGTCTCTGATCGCCTTAGTCACCATAACGTCCTGTCGATCTGGCCACCGAACGAGAACATAGTCCAGCAGCTGCCATCGCCGCGGTGGCCTTCCTCCGCATTGGGAGGCGAAGTAATGTGTTGGTCAGCAGGGAGCAGTATTCAGCGCACGTCCGTAGGAGAAGGCGGCCATTGTCGTTACAGCTGGCTATTCTATGAGAGCCCAGCACTCCCTCAGGCAGCACGGTCTATCCCGACGCGTGCATTGATGTCACCAAGGTTAATCAACTTATCCGCCCTCGGCATAGATGTCAGGAGGGCTTGCAGGTCTTCGTAGAACTTTGTCTTCGCCTCGTCTGAGCCGGTCGTTGTTGGGGCGTAGGCGCTAATGATGGTGGCCAATTTACCTCCCCAGAGAGGCGGGCGGAGGCTCACCAGACGATCGTTGATGCCCTGCGGCAGACAGGGTATGCGTCCCGCGATGTCGTTTCGGATGGCAAAGGCGACGCCCACATTTCGTCACTCTGCCTTGGGCCGGCGGCTTTAGAAGGTGTAGCCGGTACCCACATCCTTCATTTGGCAATGTGCGGGAAACGGGTCTCGCTGAGGACAACGATGTCTACTTTGTGGCGCGCCAGTTCTCGAGCAACTTGAGTCGGCCTCCGTTACGGTCGGTTGCTCCTCGGATTATCTAAAAGGGAACAAACACCCCAGGCTGCCAGAGTGAGAGTTGGGTGCCAGTTAATGGACGCCGGTCGGAGTCAACACCTGGGAGCAAGTAAAGCTACCTTCTTCTTCACGTGGACCTACAACTGGACAGCCCTACGTCTCAGCTGCTGGCTACCCGACGCATCCATTATCGTCATTAAGTAGATAGGTCCGCTTGCCCCTGCTGCCTTGTGTTTAGATTCTTGGATCAAAACGCTAGAGGAGACAACCTCGAGCAAATAATCCCAGCGGCTGTTGGGGACCCGTCTGAACTCATAGTACCCAAGAAACCCCAGGAAAATACCTGACTACAGAATTACATTTAGTACTACGGCGTCCGAGGGGACCAGCGCGTTCCGCAACTCTGGTCCAGTGGTGCGAGCGAATAGTAAGCGAGCTGGACTACTCAATCAGGAACGGTGTCTTGGTATTGATTGCTTAAATGTGCGAACGTTCTTGGGTCTCAGTACCCAAAGTCCGACGGCGCGCAGTCTTTATCAGCACAACGTGAATGTCTGCTGTCTGTCTGAAGTCCGAATCCCGGCTTAGGCGCGAGAGAAATAAAGACATCGGGAGTCAACTCCCACTTCACCCTGTACCACACGACTATTCTCTGGCCATCGTCCCCTCACAAGAAACGAACGGTTTACTACTTGCATCGGAACCAGTCAATGACCAGATGGCCTATGTGTTACCAAACATTCAAATTAAGAACATCATTGTTGTCTCCGTGTAAGAAACAACATCAGCCGCCAAAAATCGGGATAAAGATTTTAGTTGCAGCTGCTGGTTGTCGTCGGGGACTGGAATGACCGAACTGCACGTAGCGACTCTTCAGTCGCCTTATTGGTCACTTTGGGCTTGGTTCGCGACGCGACAATGACGAGAGATTGCTGAGCTTTACTGATCAGAGCCGACTGCTTGTCACCAACACGTGCTTCCAGCATCGCCACAGACATGTGCTGACCCGGTACTTAAACGATGGTCATACGGCCAGTCAGATCGGTTAGATTCTAGTCGGTTCAAGGTCCCGCATCTCAACTCACGATATTAGATCGATGCGTTGGTCTGAAATTGGTTACGCACACTGGTCAGATCATGTTCTGGTTCGCACGCGCTTGGAAGTTCGCCTCTCAAATGCGCCCAAAAAGCCGCGTACAAGACGCTTTGATATCGGCAAACCTCAACAGCCCAGTATTGCGGAGGCCCTGGGCAGAGAAATCCTAACCCGTTTTACGACCTGAGCCGACGGAGAAGGCGGTAACCAGTGGTCATTACCAAAGCCATCGGTCTATGGGGCGACTGAGAAAATTTTTGGATATACCCGGCGACGCCACAATGACTAGATCAGTGGAAGAACCCTACAGTTGTCTGCTCAAACCGCTCGAGCCAGGTCTCATAATGATGATTCATTCTGCCAACTCCGGAAAATGACAGCAATGCCGGCTAGGGGTGACCGGCAAAAATATAAACCTGGAACAGCGACCTCCATAAAGCAGGCCTAAAACATTGGTGACACTCGGAAACTACCAAATTATCCGCCAGGTCAGAGGTAAGAGCGAGACACTTAATGGCCCTGTCCACACTGTGAATGACGGCTTTATTGCTAACAACTCGGTCAAGATCGATCTTTACCGTGAGCACTTCGAGCATTTCAATTTTTATGAGAGACCTACCACACCCTCGCTTTCCACTGCAGCGGAGCTCTATCCCTCTCCAGCCTATGCAATGTCATGCGACCTGAAGAATTCGCTTATGCAGTGCAGAGGCTGTCCATAGAGGGCGGTATTTCCGCTGAGATCGAAAAGTCATGTGCTGACATTCTGGCGCCCTGGTTCCATGAGTTGACTGAACAAGTGTGGAAAGACGAGGTCGATCCTGGTGACTGGAGTTTGGGCATCCTTGTGCCTGTCTTCAGGATGCGGGAATTGCCGCGGCACAAGCCTCATCCACGTCACTGTCGTGGACTTCGCTGTTGTTCTTCTCAGACGATCTCAGGCCGTACTTGATTTTAGGACTAGGTCCAACCAGGCCGGATTCTCAACTGGGCGTGGGTTTGCCGACCAGATATTTACACTAAGATGTATTCTCGGATTCCGCCATAGCTGCCAACAGCAGACGGCCGTCTTCTTTGCTGACTGCGTTCGGTTCCTTTCATCGTGCGTCCCTGGGACGAATAATGGGACTAGATGATGTGCCGGTCAAAATCATCGCCATGATCTAGGCTTACTGCCGCTCAATCACCGCGCAGGTTCTAGTCCATAGCAGTCTCTCCAAGCCGTTCAATATTCGGTCTAGCCTTCGGCAAGGTTGTATCCTGTCGCCCATTCTGCTCAGCTACGCCACTGATTGGATTCTCGAAAAATCCTACGCGAAGTTGACAGTGTTGAGTTTGCGCCTGGCTGCCGGTTGACTGATTTCGACTACGCTGTTGATTTGACTGTACTAGCTGCAAGCTTTGGCGATCTACAGTCTGTGGTGTCACGAGTGAATGAGGTCCCTAAATCCATCGATTTACGTATAAACGCTGGGAAGATCAAAGTGTCCTCGAGCTGTTTCCCTGACCCAGAGAAAGCACCTCTCGAGATAAATGGTTGTCTACTTGAAGATGTTGACGGTTTAAAATACCTCGGGGCGAGGCTGCTTCCGAATAGACAGACTAAGAACGATATGGTCTCCCGAATCGATGCTGCCCGCCAGGTTTTATAAAACATTTGAAAGTGCCTATTGGCCCTACGCGACGTCTCCACTGCCATGAAATTTTTTGTGTACCGTGCATCCGTCCGGTCTGTTTGTCTCTGTGGTTATGAATGTTGGACTGTGCCTGTGGAGGACGAGCAAAAACTGAAGGTATTTGACCATCACTAATCGGGGAGGATCCTTCGAGTGAAGTACACCGGCTGCGTCTCAAATGAGACAGTTGCCACTCGCTGCGGCAACATCGCAAGGATGACCACGGCCATCCAGTAAAGACGACAACAGTGGTTTGGGTAGGTTCTTAGTGGTCCACTTCAGGAGTTCAGTGTTACTGCCCTCGACCCGGAGCCCTTACCCACTTAGAGGCGTCGAAGAGGGGGGGGGGCAATCAAAAAATGGCTCGACACATACCGTCATAACATGGAACTGGTCCTCGGAACCTCGGTATTTGGTTTCCGTCTTTAGTGAAGAGAATGGTTGGAGCTGCTGCTGCTGCTGCTGCTGCTGCTGCTGCTGCTGCTGCTGCTGCTGCTGCTGCTGCTGCTGCTGCTGCTGCTGCTGCTGCTGCTGCTGCTGCTGCTGCTGCTGCTGCTGCTGCTGCTGCTGCTGCTGCTGCTGCTGCTGCTGCAGATTCTCACGCGTGGAGATATGCAGGCCGTAACATCGTCGAGGCCGACTAGGTCGGACATGATCGCGACCGTGCTCAATACAAATACAAGTTTCTCAGCTGTCATCTTTGGCCTACAATGCCTTGTACCCAGGTGTTACTCCTACGGACCATTTTCGACTAACGAGTGAAAGCAGGCAAGATAGGCAGGCTTATCTCTGTCATGCTGATAATGGCGATCGAAGATTAGTTCGGATGTGGCAGAGGAATTAGTTACGTAACACAGCGAGATAGCATCAAAGTCTATGGACAGAATGGCGTTACTGACAATGGCAAGGGAGACTGGAATGGCCATTTCTGGTTTATTAGCCGTCCCGAAGTGTGGAACACCTGGGACTCGAACTCGCAACCTGTCAACCAGTCCAACGCCTCTAAACAGGTGTTCCACACTTCGGGGTTGGCTATGACTGGCTGACGACGGCCAATATGCCAGAAATGGCCATTCCAGTTTCCCTTGTCTTTGTCGGTAATAACATACCGCCTATGGTATGCGCCGCTGTGCGTCTGCTGGTTGGGCTCGAGAGAGCGAGAGCCTGTAAGACACAACGCGACACCCGTGCGTGACCCAATATCCATGTCAATTAAGAACAACTTTGAAAGAATAAACAACATCAAATAAATATCAGGGACAGTGTTATATTATTTAGAAATGCCAATGTTTCTAGAGCAGAAAATCCTGAAAACGCCAAAAATGGTTGTAATTTAATGAAATTCGCTTTAAGATGTACAGAATGTCTTCTCATGCAGAACACCGAGTAAACATGAAAGCTCAAATAAAATGACATCTAAACTAGTGTTTAGGTGGAGTTTACACTTAAATATCTTCTACAAATTAGTGTAATTCCATGTATGGCGGTTTGCCAACAGCCTACGACCTGAGTATAGAGTCTAAAACAGTTTTCCGAAGATCCGTAGTATTTTTTACGCTTTTGAATTGGTTAAGATGCGGTTCAACTAGAGAAACAGGATTTTGCTTGATTTCACCGATGAGGACATAGGAACACGATTTTTCACGAGGTCACATGCTGCCAGGCCGGTCGGTGACCAATAAATTTAAACAGCATTGACAGGCGTAATCGTAAACATACCATTTTGTGTTTATAAGAAGACCGTTTCTTACGTTAAATTAATGTACACTTTTCCTTTGCTCCGGATTACGTCGAATTTCAAATCGGCCTTGAAATTTCGCTGAATACTCAATGATTTTCAGTGTTTTCATCGATCGCCTATAAAGACAGACGCTGTATTGTGTCTGTTAAAAACTTTAAAATAAGATACCCCTTGAAGGCATTAACGGAAGTTGCGAGTGTTTGGGCGTTCTTTATCCCGTAGAACCCCATTTGGGTCACATTTGAAGATTCACCCAGACAGGAAACCTCATCGTTGAATAAAATGAATATCCACGAAGAGGTCAGCAACGAATATGTTTTCGATCAATTAGAAAACTTTCTCTTATAAGCTACCTCTTTAAAGAGTGCTTTAATGCTGTACTCCGTTGACTGATTTCCAGTGTACTTTGCATTTATACAGAGTGAAGCCAAAAAAATTTGATACTTTTGGTCGTTTCTTTCACATTCCTAAACAATACTGATATTTTTCTAACGTAAACGAAACTGCGACGGCAAATCGGGCTCAAAAGTATCTAGGAATTGAACAGTTTTTTAAAACCCTTATATGCTCATCCTCTGAGTATAAAATTTGAAGGTGAGGCGATTTGCTACGGAATAAATACAAGCAAAAATATTTTAATAAGTGTTTTCTATAAAATATGTCTTGATCCATGAGGGCTTTGGGAATCGATGGAAAAAGTGCATACTAAACAAGCCGTCATTTTTTGCCGAGTGTGGTTTTTACAGGAGGTTTCAAAGAAGTGCATTCAAAGGTCAATATCCTAGCGAGTCCGAAGTATCGTGAGATTGTTCCGCTCGGTAGTTAATATTACAACCCCACCTAAGTTGTCTTTCTCAATCGAAGACGCTTTTCAGAACTTCGATTAACATTTGATGAGCCCGGTCATTAACTGTATGGGCTCGGGGTAGTACATAACAGTTGGTGATCAGCAGTGTTTTAGAGGTCTTCTGCCATACTGCTGGAAGTCGGGAAGAGGTTTTGTCTGTAGACGATTCACCCCCAACGCCTCCCCCTCTTTCTATGCGCCATCTCTTTGTGCAGACCGCCCGGGCGTGGATTTCTTGACCGTTAAAATCACCCGTCTCCTAAATGCAAAATTCTACCTTTCTGGCGTGATCAAGTCGGTAACTTGTGGAGTAGAGTAGCAAAGATGGAGATCTTGTTTTTGGGCATTCAACTGGGGCCAAGTTCCGAACCGAGCCAGTCTTGTTAGTCGCATCTGCACCTTGGTGAGATCAAGATTATTTGAAGCAATATTTCCCCGGTATAGATTTGAAACGGGCATACACAGCAAAATTTATTGGTGCCAAAAAATTTCTTGACGACTTATCAAGTATAATCTGTCCCTGTATAACACAGATAACGAATGAGAAAAGTACAGCAATTGGAATTTCCATGGAAAAAATCAATACAAAACAATAATATCATCGTTTACTGCACACACACCAATAAGGGGAAATGGTAACCAAAAAACGCAATTTAGAGACCAAAAATGGGAAGTTAACAGTCAAAGAGGGTGTGGAAGTCGAAGGACTGAGACTAAGGCAAGCAGGAATGAGACTGATTCAGCATTTGTCTAGCTTGCGGCTGACCTTTGGCATGCATGAGGTTGCAGAAGTTCGGCCTTCCTAACCGAGCACCCAAGAAGTTTTCGGAAACTGACTGGCGTTCTCTGTGATGATACGCCGACCGTTGTCCGGATGGTCCAAATTATGTGCCGTTGATGGTAGATGTAAAACTGCCTTCTGCAAACTGCGACCTGTCGTGTTATTCTCTCTGCATTAACCAAATCCTTGATCAGTCATATGTCGTTATGTAGCCCCACCTGAAGTAAATAAGCCCCAGCGACCTGTAATCGGGGACCGATAGTAATAGGGGTTTTTAAAAGTGGGGCCCCGAGCTCACAGGCTACGAGGTCAAGCAGTTGTATGCAAAAGAAAAGCTATTGGGAATGCGCGGTTGTACTTTGAGTGGTTGAGAAATAGTGGTTCTAACCACTAACTCTAACCTCAAACCCCACCAGTATTGTGTCCATCAGGTGGGGCTACATAACCACATCTTTTCCCCGATCTAACGCCGAGACTGTGCATCAACAAGGCGCCTGTTTAGGTTGCATTTCTCCAACCTGAGGACACAAATGCTTGTATGAACATTTCAGTGACCTTCATCCATGTGAACAGCTGAGAATTGTGGAGAGGTGAAAATTACATTCGGTGACCTATCTCATGAAATGTTAATCAAAGAACCTTACCGAAAGACCCGCAAAACCCACCACAGTGACCACCGAAAAGAAAAGGTTGTTCCCCAAAGTTTCTTTCTAAGGAGACGCTGCAAGTGAACTTCTAAGAAGACGCCTTGACCAAGCTGTCTCGGGAACTTTCCCAGCAGCAAGGGTTCGCATATCATTCCCTACTACCCCTATTTTACGCGGAGAAGGCAAGGATAGGCTGCCACCTCAGACCGCCTCACTGTGCATCTACTCATTCACTTGCTCCTGTAGAGCAGGTTATATTGGTCGTACGAGTCGGCACCTTTCCAAAAGAATGCGAGAGCACCTTTCCGCATGGCTGGCAAAAGGTGAAACTGGGAGAGTAGACAGTGCCATCTTTGCGCGCGCAGTGGATTCAGGGTATCCAGTGGACCCCGCTAAAGCATTTCGTGTGATTTATAAGGTCCCCTCGAGCTACCCTAAGCTACTGGGTCAGCGCCTGTTAGCAACAGCAGAAGTGGCCGTCATCAGGTTACGAAAACCGACCCTATGCGCCCAGAAGAACCTATTTCAGGCTCCGCATTTACCGTATTCAAAGGTTGACTAACCACATACAACTTTCTGCGCCCTTCTGCTCTTTCCTAGTCTGTATTTTAAAAAACTAACTTTTATCGATTTTTGTTTCACTCACTGTACCCCGCCCTATGTAACTGTACTGGCCTGACGAGAAGTTATCGAAAGCAACGTTCGCTTGCCACCTTTTCTTCTTAATTAAACTTCTGAAATGCGTTTTCGATTAGAGTGGATTATTTAGGTGGGGCTCTAACGTTGACTATCTTGCGACGTAATCCCGTGATATTTCAAAAATGCCGGGGCGTTGGCCTCTGACTTAACTTCTTTTCGATCACCTGCAAAAACCATACTCGGTTCATGACTGCCTAAGTAATGTACATTATTCCTATTGATTTTAAATGTCCTTATGAATTTTGTAAGCAGGCACAAAAATATTCCTCCTTGTACTCATTCGATAGCAGATCACGTCTTTCCGACTTTTTTACGCAACGAAAGGGCACCACTTGGTTTTACAAAAGTTCTTTCTATTTCCAAATAATTTTAGACTCGATCTACCGTTGCGTTTTCAGGTAACAAGCCGATTACTTTCCGTGCCGTTAAGAAAATACCATAGACGGATGTGGACTATGTTGTTTTTCTTAACAAGGAGTATTATTAAACAAATAAATACGACGCTATTCGAATGGAACTGGTAGTCTTAAAAGATCTCATAATTAGAAACTTTAAGGCCAAAAGATTCCCCACTCTGAGTATAAAATGTGGAGAGGTAATTTGCTACCGAATAAGTGCAAGAAATTGTCTTTTTCACGTTTTCTACAAGATATTTTTAAATTCATAGGGGCTTTTAAAGTCGACGAAGCCTTTCCCTTACTGCGTGGGTTCGAATCCCACCGAGGCGCCGAGTTTTTCACAGTTGGGTCAATATGAATTATTCAGAATCTGCCAAAATATCAATGAATCGACGAAGAAAGTGCACACTCCTTAAATGGTCATTTTTTTACCGAGTGCACTTTTTGCAGACGGCCGAAAAGAATTTCATTCAAAAACCGACACCCTGGCACGTTTGAACTATCGCGGGCCGACGTCGCAAGATCGTCAGTATTACATCTCCACCCGAGTAATCTTTTCTAATCGAAAACACACTTCAGAACCTTGATTAATATTTCATTAGATCGGTCACTGTAGTTACGTATATGTAGCCGACCCCGCTGCTGGCATCAAAATAACTTGTTTGTTGCCAATAGCTGTCTACTAGGGCGACGAACTCTCTCGGAGCACAACTATAAACGCGAACGACTGCTGTGACAATAATCGAGACCTCCCCTCTTGACTGTTCGACGGTTTGATCGTCATATACGACGAGGTCCAACGTGTGCGTGATGGAGCGGAGGACACAGGACGATGACTTGTCGGTGAATTAGTTTACCATTTCCAGTGTCATTGCCAGTCTTTGTGGTTATATACATACATGGTAGCTCCTATCTTGTAGTCAGTAGGCATATATACGTGATTTAAGGTGTGGCGTAAGTGAGTGCCGCCATGGATGGGCGCACGATCACTGGAACATAATGGCACATTAGTCAGT